CTTTTAAAATAGTGTAGATCGATAGATCTATGAAAACTTAAAAATCTTGAATATTGAAGGTCCAAAAATGCGTTACAAAATACACTATTTTCAAAACTTAGAAATCCGTTTTTTTCTCATGTCTATGCATTTTGATGTCGAGATAATCAATTTGAGGATGTTCGGGCATCAAAACAACCTCGTCTAGTGAAATTTTTGAGATAGGCTGAAATTTGATTGTCTAGAGCCTTGGCTCTATATAAACTTTTTCCTTTTATGGGTTAATAAAAGCTGAGTCACCATTGGATGGTGGACAGAATATATAGGAAATTGGAGTCGTGGAGAAAGCTAAAGCTCTACAAACTCGAAAACTTTCACTTAGAGGGTATTTTTAAATTTATGCGCTGCGCATAGGGTTGTTAATGGGTCGAGGTCGGCCCTGACCCATACCCGATTTGACCGGGTTCTAGCTAGACCAAGGCCCAAACGGGAATTGCATCAAATCCATGTCATTAAACCCAGACCGAACCGTCCATTAATTTTATAACACATAAAAAATATTGCATATATACATATGTAGTATATATACACATGGCATTGGGTCAGGTCGGTTCAATCTTGACCTGGAACCCGACATGACCTAACCCATTAGGTCATGCATGGACACATACCCAAATCAGGCCCAAGACTTTACTGTGCTTATTATTTTCACCGAATACAGCCTTTTCCACCTAACTGATTGGAGTAATTTTTATGAGAAAGTATACTTCGATTTGTAATTGAAAGTCTATTACCATAAGTTGTATCACCTTTCAAATGGCTGGTGATGGAGAAAGAGTGGTACAATTCTAAGTAGTAAATGTATACAATAGTACATTTTATTTTTAGAATAAGGATATCACAGCTATTATTGATCATTAGATGTGAAATCAGGTGGTTGGAGATGTATTATTGATTAGGCACAATGTCCAAAATTAAATTTATTGAATATTATAACCCATTTCAATCTGTTGGATTTCACATCCAATAGCTAAAATAATGGTGACCTTTTGTATAAAAAATGATTAGTCTTATATCATACAATCCGTTTTAAATAAGTGAAGGTCATGTTCTCCTTATCGCTTCTAGTATGTATAGAAGATATACTGTCCCCTCCCATCCAGTTGTCCAATTTAGATCAAATGAGTCACTGACCATTTGATCAAGATTTAACTCTCATAGTATTTTTTTTCTATTTTATTTTTATAAAACTTATATGAGTATGAAATTTAGTATATGCCATCATCGCAATTGGGAGCACCTAAAAAAATATTAAAAAATATTTTCAATAAAATATAATGATTAAAATACCCCTGAATAATTCAAGAGAATTTTGGCTATTTTATTATATTGAGAATATTATTTTTATATTTCTGTAGATGCAAGCTTAATAGAGAAGCGAACACTAAAAAAAATTAAAAGAAAATAGTATAGAGGTATGACATTGTAATTGAGATCATTTCAAATGTTCATGTGGAATAGACGGTTAGATAGGGAGAAATACACAAGTTTTATAATGTAGGGGAAGTGTAGAAAGCTCACAATCGGGCAAGAGCACTTGTGATTATAGATCTTGTAAGGTCATGATACATGTATCATGGTCTATTTATACCTTTATTTATCAATGATATAATAATAACAAAAAGTCGATTTCAAAGAGACATCATCATTTTTTTCCCCAATACAAA